TCCAATGAAATTCGTCAGCTCATTGTGAACTTTTCCAAGCAAGATCCGCAAGTGGAGGCCCTTATGGAGATGGTTAAAAAGGGTGTTTCGAAATGTTTTTGGATAGAAAATGGCTTATTGATGACAAAGGGGCCACGGATGTTTGTTCCTCGAGCTGGAAATCTACGACAGAAGCTGTTGAAGGAATGTCATGATACCCCATGGGCCGGGCATCCTGGTTGGAGGCGTACTGTTGCTTTGTTGGGACAAGGGTATTATTGGCCTCAAATGCGCCAAGATGTGATGGATTACACCAAGACATGTCTTATCTGTCAACAAGATAAAGTAGATCGACAGAGGACTGCTGGGTTGCTCGAGCCACTACCCGTACCGGCCCGACCTTGGGAGAGTATCTCCTTGGATTTTATATCACGCTTGCCTCGAATAGGAGATCTTGGATCAATTTTGGTGGTAGTGGACAGGTTCTCGAAGTACGCCACTTTTATACCAGCATCAAAGTATTGTTCGGCGGAAGAGACTGCTAAGTTGGTGTTCAAACATGTGGTGAAATATTGGGGCATTCCTCAGAGCATAGTCAGTGACCGAGATGGAAGATTTATTGGAAAATTTTGGAAAGGATTGTTCCAGTTATTGGGGACACAACTCAACTTTTCGTCGAGTTACCACCCTCAAACAGATGGTCAGACTGAGCGATTTAATGGACTATTGGAGGAGTACATGAGGCACTTTATTCAGGCCAATCAGAAGAACTGGCCTCCATTATTGGATGTGGCGTAATTATGTTTTAATTCACAAAAGAGTTCGTCTACTAATAAAAGCCCTTTTGAACTGGTGACAGGTCAGCAGCCAAGACTTCCTCACACTGTGGATGAGACCTTTCAAGGTAGATGCCCTCGTGCCTCAAATTTTGTGGGGGAGTGGAAGCAGAATATGGAGATTGCCAAGGCTTACTTAGTGAAAGCAACGAAGCATATGAAGAAATGCGCAGATCGTAACAGGCGAGACCTACACTTTCAGGTTGGAGATTTGGTGCTAGTCAAGTTGATGCCAGAACAACTTAGATTTTTGCGCCAGAGGGATCGTCGCTTGGTGCGTAAGTACGAGGGTCCAGTCTCAATAGTAGCAAAGGTGGGGAATGCTTCGTACAAAGTTGACCCTCCTACTTGGATGAGAGTTCACCCGGTCTTCCATGTGAGCAATTTGAAGCCGTTTCACACCGATCCCAATATCGATAATCAGAGTATGTCTGCCAGGGAGTCAATCGGCACACAACCATCCTCACAGTGTCATGTTGACGAGATTCTAGCAGGGAGAATTGTTAAGGTGGGTGGAAAGCAAAGACGGGAGTATCTAGTCAAGTGGGGAGGCTTTGATCAGGAAGAGAACACTTGGGAAAGAAAGTATGATCTCAGGGCTTTCAAGCAAAAGATTGAAGAGTTTCAGGCCAAGCAGTCGACGAGGACGTCGACAAATTAGGTGGGGGAGATTGTCGTGACCGTCCCTTTTATGGGGCCACAACCGGGTAGGTACGCCAAGGCCAACCATGTATAAGGCCTAGTGGTAGGGTAGACTAAGCTTGTCCTCTTTTCAAGCATTCACAACCGGGTAGGTACGCCAAGGCCAACCATGTATAGGGCCTAGTGGCAGGGTAGAATAAGCTTGTCCTCTTTTCAAGCATTTTAATGTTTTAGGTAGGGAGTGGGGGTATGACTTACTGTCCCCTGTTCGAGCTTTTCAACGTCTATAGGTAGCATTTCTGTTATTTTGTTTTTGCATATATGTAGGGGGTGGACAGTCGGCAGAGTTTGGGCTGATCCACAGGTAAAGGTACGTGTCTTGTGAACACCATCGAGGGCCGCCCCTACGGCCTAATCGGTGGTGTGGGTGAGTCTTCTGTAACCCGATGTTTCTTTTATTAATAAAACATTTTTCTCTCGGAGAAGTCCGGGGGTTGAGGTGTGCATCCGCTATGCCCCACGGGCTCGGATTATTGGTCGAAGGACCATGTGGCTATAAAGATCTAACGCGATGTTTGTTTATGCTTGATCAGATCTACGAGATTAAGGCTGACTTGGTTGGGAAGCGTCCATTTCGAGTGCCACACGGATTAGCAACCGAACCAACTAGGCTAAGTCCGTGACACGTTGGTCACCTCCCCCAGCCTCTGTTGTTAAGGTCAATTTCGATTTAAAATTCTCGCATGACCATCGAACAGGAAGATCAGGTGTTATTATTCGAAACGAAAAGGGGTAAATTATGGGTGCATGTAGTCGATCTCAACGTTGGGTTACCTCTCCGTTTCTAGCGGAGGCCACGACGGCAATGCATGCTATCTCCTTGGCGGTGGATCTGGTATTCTGAGCTGTCTTAATTGAAGGTGACTCTCGTTCCATCATCACCAAACTTTCCCACCCAGGTAATGACTCTTCGGAGGTTAGTGCTCTCATCTAGGAGGCTCAACGAAGAGCTGAGTTTTTTTATTCTTGCAGTTTTTGTTTCACCCCTCGAGCTGGCAATCGCGCTGAACACCTGTTGGCTATGGAGTTCACCTGCGATGATCCAGATGGGTTCTGGATCGAGGAGGCACCCCTCCGTGTTGAAGAACAAGCTGAAGAAGAGTGTAGATTAATAGATCCCCCTTAGCTTCTTGCTCGAGCTGGTTTGTTAAACAAAGGTACCTGTTTTCGATTATTCTCCTCTTCTCTGATTGGTGCTGCTCATCTCCGGTTATTTCGTTTTTCAGAGAAGCTGAAATGCCTGCTATTGTTCTTCGTTGGTTTTCTTTTTGTTTTGCCACTCTACTTCCTTTTTGTTTTGCTGGACAACATTTTTTGTATTTTTTTATTTGTTTTTGTTGCATTATAGTTGGCATTTCCTTGGGTCAAAATAATAATAATAATAATAATAATAATAATTCGAGTCTTTTTTCTTTTCACTTATCCATCATTGATGGGCTTAAATGAGGATGGTATAAATACCATGATAGCATCTATATTTATTTATTTTATTATATCGGAATGAAGAATTCAAAAGGCGAGGGATATTTTAACGAGTAAACTACGTTTTTATTGTTTAGTATTTAAACCACATTAATTGGTTTATTTTTATTACTTAAATTTTTAATTTTTTCAAATTATGTTTAATATTTAATATTTATTTCATTTTAGTATCTCACCATTAAAAATTTAATGGAAGGATTAACGTGGTATGGCTCCGATGGACGGATGACTAATCCGAACAGTGGACCAGAAGAGAATGGCGAGTCGATCAACATAGTTTAATGTCAAGCCCATTGGACGGTGAAGCATGGAGATCGAAGGATGAAGAAGTCAAAGAGTCCATTATTGATTTGAGGAGATTGAGGTATTTTTCGGTGAAACGGAGGCCGGAATCGTGTTCATGTGATCGAAAATGTACGGTTATTAAAATGAAACAAAAACTAAACATTATGTACGATTTAAAAAGAATGAAAGTTTAGATACTAAAACGGAACAAAACTAATAGTTTATGTACTAAATATAAATTTTACCCTATTTTAAGAGATGAGCAGGCCAAAAAACTTATATTGATCTCAAATCACTAATGATTGGTTCATCATACGAACGCTGCACTTTATAGGTACATACAAATTGATATATAATCTTTAGAACAAACAAATGAAATCACTTGCTATATTAATTAACAGTCAACGATTATTTGCTGAACACCTAGGTGTTTAGAATCCACTGGAAAGAGGAACGAACGCGAATCTTCCCAAAATACCTTGTTTGTATGGCAAAAAAGTCTTCTTCTTCATGTTCTCGGATACTGCTTTGTTCGCTGTGTAATGCAGCTCATGAGCCGATACTTTCCGTCTAGATCCACCCGAACCAGAGTTTTCCCTCGATTTCGAACTTGAATTCTTGTTATCTTCGGGTTTCTTGAAAAAGCTTGACGAGTACTTCCTGAATCGGTCTTTATCTGTTTCATGTCCCTCGGATGCGCTTCTGAACAAGAAAATATCTCTCAATCTCCATTTTCTGGAAGAACCTTTGTTTGAAGAAAGCGAAGGCTTCGAATTCAACGACGATAGCTTCTTAGGGGTGCTTTCGTTTGCCTTTGTTTCTCTTCTTCTTCCCAGGGATACGCCGAGACTCTGTAAGGAGAAAGTGATCTAGTTGCTCTCCGGCTTGAGTTCTTGGATAGATCTTGAAAACTTTCTCTTCCTTTTATGTGGTTATCTGTTTGATTTCGACTGGTTTGAATAGCAGTTGCAAAAGGGTCACAGAGATGAACAAAAAGTTATTACAGCTCACTTGCTCATGTTTTGAACATGACTTCCATTAATGTTCAAACCAATAATTTGAAATGTCCAAGACTAATAGTGGCTGCAGCTTTCGTGGAACGGCGGCATAGTGGTGATATTATGAAGGAATCGGATTAGTTAATGTGAACAGTTAAGGAGTCACTTCTCATTTTGGTGCTTGATCTTCTAAGCTATTGCCAGGCTTTTCAAGTAACGACTTTTAGTAGTTTTGATGTTCGAATATTAGTATATGATTTTCTTTTCCTTCGAGTAAAAAAATGATCCAATTAGGACCACTGATTTGGCTCGTTTACTTGACATGGGATTAACAAAATTGTCTACTTTATTATACGAACGTGTGCTGGAAAACAACAATTTGACTAATTCACGAAGATCTAGATGGTTAGACTTGTGCAGGTGGAAAACTTAATCGGGGACGGGCTGTGTTCAGTACGTGCAGCATTTCAAGACTTATTTTCAATTGGCCAAGCTGATTTTCAAAAGCAGTGCTGTATATCCATCATAGCCTGGAGATTTATTTTTTCCTTGTCCAAAAATAGCATCTTTGATGGGATTGTCTCAGGAAAGACGGGTTAATATACGGCTAATATACAGCATTACCGGATACATTAAAATGTATTTAATAAATTCGGTTTTAGCTGGTACCTATATGTTGACAACTAATAATGTTTTAGGTAGAAATATGAAAACTATTAAAAAATTTGGTAACCGGTAAACTTTGGTTATCGGTAAGTATCTATCCTTTTTATAAAAGTGTCCATACGTTTAACATATCAAGTAAATTTTACCGGTTTTGTCATAATGAATCTGGTTTTGTCATATTTTTACCTGTTATATTGTAAATTATCTATCCTTTTTATAAAAGTGTCCATACTTATTTCACTGTGAAAATATATTTATTATTATCTTTAGTTAATATTGTTAAATTTAAATCTAAATAATATTTTATAAATATCAAAACAATCAAATAATTTTTTGTGTAAATGAAATTATTAATTAATATGTAGGTGAAAACATGAAACACTATTAAAAAAATTGAAACATAAATTACATAACTTTCAAAAAAGTATATATCATTTTTATAAAAGTGTCCATACTTATTTCATTGTTGAAAACATATTTATTATTATATTTGGTTAATATTGTTAAATTTAAATTCTAATAATATTTTATAAAATATCAAAACAATCAAATATAATTTTGTGTAAATTAAATTATTAAATTAATATTGTAGGTGGAAAACATGAAACACTATTAAATAAATTGAAAATAAATTACATAACTTTAAAAGCAGTTTTAAATCCTAAAAAGTGTCGATACTTTTAAAAATATATCGATCCAAAACGAATATACCAGGTAAAAATATGATAAAACCGGTAACAAAATGATAAAACCGGTAAATTTAAAAGTGTCGATACGTTATATAAGGATCGACACTTTGTGAATTTAAAGAGAGAAGCATTATAGCGCCTATAATGTGTCGATACTTTAAAAAAATATATCGATCCACAACGATATAACAGGTAAAAATATGATAAAACCGGTAACAAAATGATAAAACCGGTAAAATGATACCGGATATATTGAAAGTGTCGACACTTTCGTAAGTACGTGTAATAAATTATCGACACTTTCAAGAAATAGGTAATATCCTTTCGAAAGTATCGACCTGACATAAAAGTATCGACACTTTTGTATTTGTATCGATTAAATATAAAAAACATATCCGATGAAAATATAAAGGCCATAGCTAAATATCCTCTGAAAAAAGATAGAACGGACGAGTTTTTGAAATCGAAGAGTAATTGTTGCTGCATTTCAGAAGGCGTTTCTAAAGCGAAGTTTGTTTGTTTGTTGCTGCAGTCGAATCGAAAAGTATGTTGTCGAAACCCTAATTTTTTATTATTACAGTAATCGCGATAGGGTTTTTTATGTGTTGTTTGGGGTTTTGGAGTAAGGAAGCATTTGGGACCGATTGCAGGTAGAAATAGTATTCAAGGAAAAATATAAATGTCGATCCTTTTATTAAATATTATAGGTAGAAAATGATATTATAGGTTGTCTAAATGTGCCGACACATTTTGGTGTGGCCATTCAAATTCTTTTGAAGAAAACCGTTTTACCACAAGAGTAGTTATCTATATTTGTATATTGAAAAGTGTATGTAACAAAATAATTTGATTTGCGTAAACTGATATATGAAGGAAAAATGGAGTCAATGGGGTGGAAAATTGTTGGTGGAGCAGATGACTTTGAAATTGAGGCCGAGACTCGAAAGCAACCAAAGGGTGGATATATGTACTTCTAGTAAGTATCAATGTCTTTTTGTTATTATTGTTGAATGGTAATTGGATTAAAGTATCGATAAACTTTAAATTGATTACAAATTTAAATGTTAACAGTATGGCCGAATGCAAAAGGATGAAGGGAGATGGCACACAGAGCGGTTCGGTATGTAAAATGAAATTGACATGAGTAGTATTAGTATTTAGTGTTAATGTATTGATTAAGAAACGTTTATGTTTAATATTAGTGAAAAAAGATGTGAGGTCCAAATGGAATTCATGAGTGATGCTGAAAAGGAACCTTACATCACACAGTCAAGGAATGATAGTAAAGAATACAAAGAACGGAGGAAAGCACATGAAATAAGGTATTCATTAAACTTGTAAATACGTTGATACAAAATTATATAAGAACTAACATTATATATTGTTAAAAAATGTAGGAAGTGTCGACAAGATGCAGCATTAAAAGGGTGAATTTATTAATTAAACACCTTAAGGAGAAGGGTCAGTTGAATGTGCTGGGAGAAATAGGTTTTGGATCGTTGATCGGAGTAAGGGCGACCTATTCGGAGGAATTGTGTCGATCCTTGATGGCACAATTTGACGTCAGTCATGTATGGCTAAGTATGGTGATTATTCATTCCCTCTGGGGGTATCGACTGCTGCAGCCGTATTGGGGTACAAAACAAAGGCAAAAGTGTTATAGAAGTCTGTAGGAGTAAGAACTGGAAAGCACTTGCCTCCAAATATGGTTTGAATCATAAGGTGACATACTGAAGTTGAAGAGGATCAAAAGTGGATCTTACTTGGGGATGAGCTGAAGGCCCGAGTTCTATGTACCTTGTCGGGATATTTCTTTGTCCAACGGGTGATACGTCACGAACAAGGAATATATGAAGCTCATTTGCGATGAAGGCTTGAAGGGTGAATTCAATTGGGCTGAATATCCATTCGAGATTGATTGAATCAATAATCACCTTTAAAAAGGGCAGCCAGAGATACCTCAAAGGGTGCATAGCAATCTTAGAGGTAAATAGTTGAATCACTTTTTTGTGTTTTTATATAAAAATATAAATTTTATTATAAATGCAGGTTGCACTGTTCGATTTTTGGTCGGGCTGTGAGGCAGTGCCGACTTATGAAAGAACCGGAGTGGCCGCCATCCGTGCATGGGGGAAGGAAGAGGTGGTTAGAGTGATGGTGAGTTGAAGTTGGATAGAGAGAAGAAGCAAGAAATGGTAATAAATGTAATTAAATAATTAGAATATAATCAATGTCTTAATATGTAATTAATTTTTTGAAGGTTATTGGCAAGGATGTAGAGGAGGCAGTGGAGGCAGAGGAGAAGAAAGGAGGGATGGTTGTATTGGGGGATGAAGGTGAGTGGGACGACGGTGAAGCAAACAGAGTAACTTCGACATTTTGATGTCTGAATTGGCTGATATCAAAAAAATCCAATTGAAATCATGCAAAGACAATCAGAGTCGAAGAGAAACTTGATCAAGTCGTAGAGAAACTCGAGAGAGTCGGGAGAAAATTTGAGGGAGTGGTGAAGGAGGTTGTTGATTTGAGGATGAACTTACGGGGGTGAAGGGGGTGGTTGATAAATACTCGGATGAAGGAGCTCAATTGAAGGGTGAAATAAAATATGAAGAGCTATGTAGAAAAAAAGTCGATGAACTGAAAAATATAAGAAGAAAAGAGGGAGGAGGAAGAAGAAGAGATGGAAGAAATGAGGAGGAAGGAAGTCGATGTCATTTATACACCGAAGAGTGTTATAGCAGCAGTTTTGGATTCGGAATGTCCTGCCACCCCAGAAGAAGAAGCAGAAGGTAATTTTAATAAAATACTTAATTTGATTTTTATTATTTGTTTGTGACAAAAATTTGTATGCAAAATTGTAGGTTGAAAAAGCGGATATTCCAACCGGAATTGATGACATCGAAGCTGCAATTTGATTATTTATGGAATAGCGAGTTAGAATCGGGGTAAGAAATATATTGTTTTGTGAGTGATATTAAATATTTCATGACAAGATATTAATCCTAATGATTCATACAGATATTCTGTAATATCAATGGGAAATCAATTCGCTATTGTATACGACGTTGCAACGTTGAAGCCTACGGAATGGGTTGGCGGTGTGGTAAGTAGAAAGTAGAAAATAAATAAACTTATTGAATATGTTCTGATTGTGTAATTAATTTTGTTAGGTTATCGATTTGCTCGCCTGGACCATATGCTACGATTCTCAAAAGTCACACCGGAGGATTGACTACCTTCCATACCTCTAGTGGTGAGTTAAATTAATAAATATGAAAAGTAGTTTATAGACGGTAAATTAATAATGTTTGTTGCGTAATTATAGCAACAGGCGTTGGAAGCCAACAACAAAGAAAGTGTTGAGAATATTTCTACCTTCTGGGTGTCATATTGGATAACTATGTGAAATTCACCGACTGTGAGAAGGTAAGACACCATACCAATTGCAAATGATTTTTCGGATATAGAATGTTGAATTTTGTCAATTGGGTGTGAAATTTGTTGCAGATGATCACAATAAACTACCATAATTCACATTGGTATCTGTTTGGTGTTGGATATGGTAGATCATGTGTAACAATATATGATAGTATGTTTACAACTGAAGCAGCTAAACAGAGAGTGAAGGATGCTAAGAGATTGGTATGTATGTCTGTATGAAAGGACATTATGTAATTATAATGCATAATTTTTTTGGTGCATAACTTCTTCTATTTTAATGCAGATTAAAATATTAGATTCTTATAATAAGAAACGCATTTGGGTTGAGTCATGTGGATCTCTAGGAAGTATCCCTTGAAATTTCAAATTTGTGGAGCATAAGAAGAATAAGCAATTGAATGGGTATGAGATGTTATCACAAATAGAAAGCTTAATTTATGCAGTATTCATCATAATTGACATGTGTGGTTTTCAAATTTTGTAACAGATATGATTGCGGCATGTGATGATGTGGATGGAATCGATCGGTTCTACAGGGCAACTGGTTTTTGTAAGTGGATAGAAAATTGTTTTTGGTAAATTGTTAAAAGTCGTAGATTGAATGCTGTAGTTGACAATACTTAACGTTCTGACAATTTGAATATAGGTTGTTGGAGACTGGGATCGATCGCGAGTATTAAACGATCTCGTAAGCCACAATCAAAATGAACGAAGACAGGAGATAACAAAAGCTGCAATATTACATAAGAATAACAAAAGGATGCAATGATGTGTCGAGTTAATTTTGTATAAGATTTATAATTTTGTATACGATTTATTTTTTGTATGTGAATATAAATTATGAATGAGATGAGAAAGTTAGCAGTATGTTGTTGTACATGTTTCTTATACACATTAAGGGTCATGTCGATACTTGGAAGTAAAAGGCAAATTTTCAATATGACCAACAGGGTGCACCCTAAAGTGTCGATCCATATATAAAAAAGTGTCATCCCAAAATCATCGAACCCAAAAGTATAATGTAATATGTAATTTTTCAATCTAACCGGTACAATTATACCGGTTTTATGAGAATATGTCTAAATAATGTGTCGACACTAATATAGTTTGTGTCGATACTTTTTTCCCAGAATGAATGGAAACAAGGTGCACCCTAAAGTGTCGATCCATATAAAAAGTGTCGATCCCAAAATCATCGAACCCAAAAGTATAATGTAATATGTAATTTTTCAATCTAACCGGTACAATTATACCGGTTTTATATGAGAATATGTCTAAATATGTGTCGACACTAATATAGTTTGTCGATACTTTTTCCCAGAATGAATGGAAAACAGGTGCACCCATAAAGTGTCGATCCATATAAAAAAGTTCGTCCCAAAATCGAACCCAAAAGTATAATGTAATATGTAATTTTTCAATCTAACCGGTACTTATACCGGTTTTGAGAGAATATGTCTAAATAATGTGTCGACACTAATATAGTTTGTGTCGATACTTTTTCCCATAATGAATGGAAAACAAGGTGCACCCATAAAGTGTCGATCCATATATAAAAAGTGTCGATCCCAAAATCATCGAACCAAAAGTATAATGTAATAATTTTCAATCTAACCGGTACAATTATAACCGGTTTTATGAGAGAATATGTCTAAATAATGTCGACACTAATATAGTTTGTGTCGATACTTTTTTCCCATAATGAATGGAAACAAGGTGCACCCATAAAGTGTCGATCCATATATAAAAAGTGTCGATCCCAAAATCATCGAACCCAAAAGTAAATGTAATATTAATTTTCAATCTAACCGGTACAATTATACCGGTTTTGAGAGAATATGTCTAAATAATGTGTCGACACTAATATAGTTTGTGTCGATACTTTTTTCCCAGAATGAATGGAAAACAAGGTGCACCCATAAAGTGTCGATCCATATATAAAAAGTGTCGATCCCAAAATCATCGAACCCAAAAGTATAATGTAATATGTAATTTTCAATCTAACCGTACAATTATACCGGTTTTATGAGAAATATGTCTAAATAATGTGTCGACACTAATATAGTTTGTGTCGATACTAATTTAAATATCAAGTGTTTCCAGTTTACGATATATAGTACTCTTAATCGAGAAACCCTAAACATAATGCAAGCAGCAGATCTTCCTCTTTCTTCTACCGTTATCATAAGTGACGATCAGATATTCAGGTAATTTATCGATATTCTATGGGTTTGATTGATTTCTATATTGGAGTTTTTATCCTGAATGTGTTTGTGTTCCATTGTAATAGGGGTAGCATCCAACCAAAATGGCTCCAAACGTCAGCGTCAGAAGCGAGGTCTTTCTCAAAGCTCTTCTCAACCCAGTTCTTCTCAACCACCTCCTTCTGTAACAAACGATTCTTCTGAGGAAATCAGGTCCTTCGAAACTCTGAACTTTAGATCCGACATGGAGAAACAAATGGCATACGAGTTTTAAAGTAAGGAAGATTCGTCCCGAACGTGTCATTGACCTGGTTCTTGTTTGATGATAAATATGCATTTAGTTTTAAATCCACATTTACATCTTGGGGTTGGCTTGAATTCCTTGGTGTAGAACCAAGATATATCCCAACCTAGTTAGAGTCTTCTACAACAATGCTTCCTTACAGCACGCCTAATAAGACTAATATAATAGGAATTAATACACATGTCATGGGGAAGGATATATATATATATCTCCAGAAACGATTGCGGAGGGTTTAGGTGTAGCGAATACAGGGGATTCAGATGAAAATGGTGTAGATTGGTCTACAATTAAACGGGTTACTAGAAATAGCCCAATTCACCTCGATGTAGAGTCGAGAGTGTTTCACAAAATGCTCACATGGTATATCCGGCCTAGTGTGGGAAAACATTCAACGCTTCGAGACAGCGATTATTGGTGGATAGCAAAGTATAAATCCAAAACGGCTCCAAACATTGCAAAACTCATATTTAATACAATTGTATATGGTCCAAAGGGAGCAACAATTTCAACTACACTACCATATGGATGTGTCATCACCCATCTGTTGAAGAAGAAGGAAGTTGATTTTTCGCATGACGCCCCTGTTAACCCGCAAGATTGACATGGTATTTATTAAAAAAGCGGGATATGATTTTGTTGAAAAACTCGGTTGGAAGCGTGTCAAGGAGGTAGGAAGTTGATTTTTCGCATGACGCCCCTGTTCGATTACCCGCAAGATTGACATGGTATTTATTAAAAAGCGGGATATGATTTTGTTGAAAAACTCGGTTGGAAGCGTGTCAAGGAGGTCGGATTAGATCAAGAGAGGGAGGAAATGGACCCCGTTGGCCATGAAGAAGAGCAACCAGTGGAGACGCAATGATGGAAGAAGCTCCAGTTGCAGAGGATGTCACAATTAAGACCGTGATGGATACATGGTCATTTTCGGAGCATATTGATTCCCTTGTGAGTGGAATGTGATCCGATATTTCATCATTGCAACGTGAAGTCTCCATGTTGCGTAACGAATTACGTCAACGACATCAACGAGTTAGGTAATTCATTATCTATGTTTCTTAACATTTACACGTTCTGAACTTTATTTTATTTCTTTTAACAGATGTGGACAACCAAGCGGTCGCAGAAGATGAAGCTGACGATGATGATGATGATGACGATGAAGCTGGCGATGAAGATGATGACGATGATGATGATGATGAAGATGATGATCCAAACAAGTATATCGTGTCTGCAACGCCGCCTTCAAGAAAACTTTTAATTTTTGATCTCAATGGTGTCCTTGCCTACATCCCAAGACTGCCGGTAGGTTTTAATTCTATTCTTTTGTATCCATTATTTTTAACATATAACGTAGAACTTTAATCTCATTTTCTTCATGTTGTAGATGTTGTCCTCAGAAGAGGATTATTTGAATTTATGCAATTTTGTGTCGACAATTTTGTTGTTGCCCTTTGGTCTTCAAAGATGAGGTTAGAACATGTTTGGCAATTGAATTACTGTAGTCAAAATCGTTAATATACATTTGAATGTTAACATTCAAACTTGATTACAATCTCAGCATAATGTCGACCGTGTACTTGAGAAACTACCTGTATTTTCCGAGCATTTTCTATTCGTGGGTGATGAATGTCATTACATTTTGCTCGAAGGTTCATTTGAACATGTTTCTGTCGTGCTGCTTTCAATAGGATGTGGCATTGGTATGGTAGTTAAAGGGTGGTACAACATTAAATTCGCAGTACATATTTAGGTATGTACAATAACTACAAGTATTATCATTTTAAATTCGCAGTACACTGTTAAAAAAATTGAAACATAATTACATAAGTTTTAAAAAAAGTATCGATCCTTTTTATAAAAAGTATGGACACTTTCAATATAATAGGTAAACATATGATGTAATAGGTAGCCCTTATATAATGTAATAGGTATCGTTTATAATGTAATAGGTATGTTATATTGTAAAGTGTCTATCCTTTTTATAAAAGTGTCCATACTTTTTTCACTGTGGAAAACATTAATTTAAGGTTATCTTTTGAGTGAGTTTTAAGATATTAATTTAGTAATTATAGGCGTCTAATGTTTATTTTTTACGTTACGGTATATATATTATTAAATTAAAAATTCTAATATATTTTTAAAATATAAAACAATCAAATAATTTTTGTGCAAATGAAATTATTAAATCAATATTGTAGGTGGAAAACATGAAACACTGTTAAAAAAATTGAAACATAAATTACATAAGTTTTAAAAAAGTATCGATCCTTTTTATAAAAAGTATGGACACTTTCATATAATAGGTAAACATAATGTAATAGTAGCCCTTATATAATGTAATAGGTATTGTTTATATAATGTAATAGGTAGTGGTTATATTGTAAAGTGTCTATCTTTTTTATAAAAGTGTCCATACTTTTTTCACTGTGGAAAACATTAATTTAAGGTTATCTTTTGAGTGAGTTTTAAGATATTAATTTAGTAATTATAGGCGTATAATGATTTATTTTTACGTTACATATATATTATTATTAATTAAAAATTCTAAATATTATTTTTAAAATATCAAAACAATCAAATTTTTTGTGCAAATGAAATTAAAATCAATATTCAAATTGAAAATTAAACAACAAATCAATTAAACATTGTTGTGGGTACATTAATTGAACATTGTTATGGGTACATTATTTGGATTAATTTCGTTGAGATGGGTTATGTATACAAAACAATCTATCTCGCATGTGAGTACTTTATTCCAACCATGTGACAAGTGTGACAACTCCATCAACTCACAACTCAGCTTTGAACTCAATCAATATTGTCTTTTAGCTTGATGGTTCATAAAGCATGTTACTTGAACAGTATGAATCAATTATGCAATTTTCATGTTCAATTTAACACTGCATTTCAAATTCATTTCATATGTAATTGGAGTTGAATTTAAATTTCAATTTGAGTTTGAATTTCAATATATATTTCGGCTCCACTATAAATATTAGCCCAAGCCAATATGCAGTTATCATTGATTATTCCTAATTTCCATTGTTTTTTTTCCAACGTATAAACGCGAGGGAAATCCGACCATTTTATTTTTTGGTCAACTTTAAGCGTCAGAACGTTTCGGGCGTATGATCTGGGTGGTATACAAGAAATGTAACAAATAGCAACTAAAATCATAAGTTGAGTACCACCCAAATCATAAGTCTGAAATAACCAGAGTTTTCCCTCGATTTCGAACTTGAATCTTGTATCTTCGGGGTTTCTTGAAAAAGCTTGACGAGTACTTCCTGAATCGGTCTTTATCTGTTTCATGTCCCTCGGATGCGCTTCTGAACAAGAAAATCTCTCTTAATCTCCGTTTTCTGGAAGAACCTTTGTTTGAAGAAAGCGAAGGCTTCGAATTCAACGACGATAGCTTCTTAGGGGTGCTTTCGTTTGCCTTTGTTTCTCTTCTTCTTCCCAGGGATACGCCGAGACTCTGTAAGGAGAAAGTGATCTAGTTGCTCTCCGGCTTGAGTTCTTGGATAGATCTTGAAAACTTTCTCTTCCTTTTATGTGGTTATGTTTGATTTCGACTGGTTTGAATAGCAGTTGCAAAAGGGTCACAGAGATGAACAAAAAGTATACAGCTCACTTGCTCATGTTTTGAACATGACTTCCATTAATGTTCAAACCAATAATTTGAAATGTCCAAGACTAATAGTGGCTGCAGCTTTCGTGGAACGGCGGCATAGTGGTGATATTATGAACCTTAAGGAATCGGATTAGTTAATGTGAACAGTTAAGGAGTCACTTCTCATTTTGGTGCTTGATCTTCTAAGCTATTGCCAGGCTTTTCAAGTAACGACTTTTAGTAGTTTTGATGTTCGAATATTAGTATATGATTTTCTTTTCCTTCGAGTAAAAAAATGATCCAATTAGGACCACTGATTTGGCTCGTTTACTTGACATGGGATTAACAAAATTGTCTACTTTATTATACGAACGTGTGCTGGAAAACAACAATTTGACTAATTCACGAAGATCTAGATGGTTAGACTTGTGCAGGTGGAAAACTTAATCGGGGACGGGCTGTGTTCAGTACGTGCAGCATTTCAAGACTTATTTTCAATTGGCCAAGCTGATTTTCAAAAGCAGTGCTGTATATCCATCATAGCCTGGAGATTTATTTTTTCCTTGTCCAAAAATAGCATCCTTGATAGCTTTATTCAAATCCTCAACTACATGAGCAGGTAGCTGGTAACCAATATAAATGTATCAATTTTTATATTGGGTAAACTACATGTTTAATATATAAACTATTAGTTTTGTTTTCTTTTGGTAGCTAATTTTTAATTTGTTTCAAAATTCTACCTAACGTTTACTTTTTATTTACCTCGCTATTAAAATTAAATTTAGAAGTTAGAGTGATTAAATTAGGAGCAATTTAAAAGTTATTAAATTTATTTTTTATTTTAATTATATATTAATAATAATAATAATATAATGTCAAAAAATTAAATTTCAGTGACTAAAATAGGAGTGAAAAGATAATTGAGTGACAAATAACATAATTTATCCCATAAAAATGTCATGCTTGTTCCGCTAAACTTTTAACAGCGACGTGACAAGTAAATTCATATTAAAAATCTAAAGAATTTTTTTAATGAAACTTTACCTTAAGGTGACAAATTTTACAAGAAATATTAAAATAATAATCGTAGAATATAAAAATATTATCTCATGAAAGTGACGAATTCTCCGTGTACCGTAAAAAATATTATATATATAAAAATAATTTGCTGTCACTTCCCCTTTTCCCTAAATAATTTTGGGGCACACGGTAACGTGTAAAAAAAACCCCAAACTAAAAACTTAATGTCTCATATTCTCCTTTAAAAACTTGTCTTTATTTATTTTTTGATTAATTAAAAAAACTGTCTTTAGATACGGAATTTGTGAATATCATTATTTCAATTCTGATTATAAAACTCATTTTAAAACATATTTTTAGTTTTTTAAGTATATAGTCTAAAGAAACTCACATTACATACTTTTTTAAAGTTGTCTTTAATATTATTATTTCTATATTTGTAATTATTTTATAAAATTTTAATATTGAAAATTTCTATCAGAAATACTGATCCAGACAATATAATTGCATTTGCTAGTATTTTGAATTGATGAATTTTAGAAGATCAATATTCTTAAATCTCTAAAACTTTAAAATTTTCCTCTAAACGCACATATTATAAGATGTTAGTTTATTTTTCGTTTTTATAATTATAATAAAAAGTATGAAACATATTTAAAAATTAAAATTATTTAGAAACGCTTTTTCTTAATATAATATTATCTTTACGTTTATGTTAACCAATCCTCTTTTGTTTTCGTTATATTTCAAGTATAGAAAGGAAACTACATTTTGTTGCCCTTGTTGTTTCAATAATTATTTTAAAAGTTAATTTTTTTCGCGAATCAAATTATTTGAATGGTTAAAGGAATTTTTAATATTCGTAAAGGTCACGAGTTTGAATACTAATGAATGTAGTAGATGTGATTGAGAATTTATTGCCAAATAGTTGTGAGGTATTTAGAACAAATACTATTTTATAATTATTAGTTTTGATGTTGGTCGTGAATTGCTATCTATTTTTCTTTGGTTTTTATGATTTCTAATAATTTTACCTTTATGACAGGTTTTTCTCTGCCTTTATAACATATTTTTTGTTGTTCGAAAGTTTTCTTACTTTTCTATTTTTTTAGTGTTGGATTTGAATGTCGTCTCGATTGATTAAAATAGCGTTTATTTGATATCTTGTTGGTCTTCCTTGCTTCGGACTCTTGGATTAGACTTGGATTCACAATTTGTGTTCGTAGATAGTCTGCTCACAATGTTTGACTTGATTTGTGATTATCGGTGATCTTTCAGTAATTGTAATCTCCTATTGTGGTTCATTTGTCAATGCAATTAGATTTGTTTGTATATGTCTTTTGTTCAAATTTTTAGATGAGTTTTAACATTTTACTTGTATGACCTTGAATTACAAGTTTTTGTGTCAATAGTTCTTGAAAAATATTCTAATCATTTGTTTAATCTACGAACTTTATTGTAATTTTGAATATTTTATCACTTTACTAAAACTAATGGCTCTATTTGCATAAAAAAAGTAGTTCAATTAAATGTTCAATCATGTAATGATGACCAATCAAGATAATAATTTCTATACAGTTGTATTTGTCTTTTGTTCGAATTTTTGGATGAGTTTAACGTTTTCTTTAAGTAGTCCTAGTGTGATCTTGAGTGACTGGTTTTTGTATCAAAATTTCTAAAAAAAATATTCTAATTATATATTTAGTCTACTATCTTCATTATAATTTTGAATATTTTCTCAATTTAATAAAACTAGCGGCTCTATTTACATAATTAAAATTTTATAAAAAATAGTTCAATTAAATGCTCAATTATGATAATAATTCCATACAGTTGTAATTTAAGAAATATTACATAATTTTTATAGGGTAAAGTACACAAACGGTCCCTCAATTAAGGTATTATTTTATTAAATCTATCAACTATTAAAAGTTACAAAATGGTCATTCGATTATAGAATGTTACTTTATTAAGTCACTCGACTATTAAAAGTTTTAACATGGTCACTCAACTATTTATTATGTTCCAAACTCATCATTTTTCATTTAAAAATTGAGGATTGTCTAAGTTAGACGTTAACATGATGGTTGAGATATGATAGTCGTTTGAGATTCTAGGATCAAATTTATCATATCACAGTTAACATGTTAACGTTCAGCTCAAAATACCATCAACTTTTTAAAAGGAAAAGAACGAGTTTGGAACATAATGAATACTTAGACGACCATTTTGTAACTTTTAATAGTCGAGGTACTCAACAAAGTAACACTCTATAGTCATATGATCATTTCGTAACTTTAAATAGTCGAGGGGCTTAATAAAACAATACCCTATAGTTGGGACCATTTGTATACTTACCCTTTTTTATATTACTCGATGGTTGAACATAAATCAAACGTCGAGACAACGCTGAATTATGAACGTTCAATTGGAAATGTTATTTAAGTTCTGCACCTTGATTTAGTTAACGCAACCACAAATTTATTAACGTTCCAAATCTCTTCACTACACTGTTAACTTATCGTTTGAGAAAACGAATTCAGATCGTCTTCACCAAACAGTCAAGATTAAATAGTAGCATAAAGATTTTCAGTCCGAAAGATATAGTAATAGTCTATAAGAAAGCTGAAACGCAATCCATGTTAACACTGTCATAATTATTGAACTCAGACTAACCTTACAGTCGGACTGATCGACCGGTAGCCATAGTTGGCATTTATTCATGAAGCACGCCACAGCCAAGTTATATACCAAGTTTCCCTTTTTAAGTCGCAGAAAATCAAACAAATAATGAATCTAAACCCTAAAATATCCCTCTACGTAAGGGGAGTTCCACTCCACGTCTGAAGGGATTTATATAAGAATTCTACACAACCAAGAGAGCTGCGCCTCTCCTCTAGTGTGAGTTGTCTGCTCAAGAGCTACTACTCTTTCTGCTGTTACTATTTTAGTTCACTTGTTGCTGATAACTTCCATAGAATGGATACGCCCCATATGCTGCCGCATAAATGCCCGGGTTGTGAGGTGATGGCAAAGCATATCCATAACCATCATACGCAGCTCCTCCATAGTAAGCTCCGCCCCATTGGTTACCATAATCCGCTCTAAACTGCATAATCTAAGAATAATAATAAGATCAAATAGAGGTAATTTACTCAAAGCAATAGATAACAGGACGTCTTAAGATCGTCCATTTCTGCAAAGCATGTAGTAACAGCTTTCTTAATGCTGCAATAAACAATGACTGTAGATAAAAAAAATAGATACCTGCTTTTTTGCTGGATTGCGGCCCCAAGAGAGTCTCACTGTTTGCTTGCCTATTATAGTCCCATTCAACTTCTGCAATGCCTCCTCAGCATTGTTCCTGTTTAGACTCCAGGTGTTAATAAAAGGTAGTAACTCAATAGTACCCAACTTACACTTCTAACATAGCACGAACGGTAAATTAATGGCAAAGCCAATATGACTACAAATTGTACCTGCTGGCAAATTGTTCAAACCCACATCCTTTTCCAACAGGTATTTTAACAGAGACTATTTCACCATACTGGGAGAAAGGTTGCCTGAGATCTTCCTCGGTCACATTAGGGTCAAGTCCTCATTCGTGGCATTTGATTAGCGATCAAGTATAAAACCAAATAGCTACATGTGCCAACCACAAAAAAGGCAACGAATGCTTTAATCATAGAGCAAATCGTATCGTTAAGATCGCCATTTAAAGAAATATTTTCCATCCGACAATGATTTTACTAGTAATCAATGGAGATGCATTTAGTTTGAAAATATTTCCATAAAACTGTACTATACAAGTGTCCCAATAGCACTCCTACGTGTATATGCATGAATTAAATAAGACAGCCGATCATTAATAAATAATTCAAACTAATTAAATCAATATCAGATAGTGTAGTGATGGCTGTAAACGAGAGCTCGAGTATTGTTGAGCTCGATTCGAATTTGAAAAGTTTAAAATTAAATTTTACTCGATTTGAAAACTCGCAAGTTAAAAAATTATCAAAATCAGCTCGAACTCAAAATATAATATTGAAACTCGACTCGAACTCGAAAATGCTCGAACTCAAAAAAAATTCAGGAGCTCGATTGAAGCTTAAACTCAAACTCGAATTTGAAACTACAAAAATCTTATATTACATTTAAAAATATATTTTTAAAAATTTATAATTATCAATAATGTATTTTAAATATATTTTTAATAATGTAATTTTAAAAAATTAAAATTATAATATAACATTTTTTTTCGAATAGCTAATGAGCTTTTCGAGTCGAGTATTAAGTAGTTCGTTAAAAATTCGAGTTGAGTTCGAGCTCGAGTTCATTTAATTCGAATATTAATCGAACTTTAATCAAATCGATCTCGAATAACTTAAAATCTATATTGTTTTATTTACGGTTAGGGACTGCAGAAACCACGATAATGCAAATACAGTGCAATAACCGATGTCATTGAAAATAAAAAGAAAAGAAAGAAATAAGTGTTAATATGAATAATATCAAATTAAAATAAAATATATTTTAAGAGAGATTTTGTTTACCTCGCCGGTAGAAGCAAAACAGCTATGAAGGTAGTTCTCATCCATCCAATGATGCAAATCACCAACCCAAATGGTTTTGTTCTCTCCGCCGCCGTTGGATCCTTGCTGCTGCTGCTGCGCCTGTTGCACGTTTCCATGGTGTTGCTGGAACTGATGGTTACGAGGGTGATATGGCATGTAGTGCTGAGGTGGAAGTGGCGGCGCCACAAAGTGGGGCGGTTGCATAATCTGATGCTGCATTACCATAGCTGTCGCCGGATACTGCATCGCCAACCACTGCGGATGTGATTGTGGCGGTTGTTGTTGGCGTTGGTTGTGTTCTTGCGAAGGTTGCGCCGGTGCTTGCGAATCGGAACCACTATTTTGCTGCATCCTTATCTCTGTATTACTAATATTACTGTCTCCTTTTTTTTAAAACAGAAAAAATGATTAAATAAATAAGATTCCAATGATTATTTGAATTGAATCTGAGTTTTAGTTTCTAAATATTTTCAGGGAAACAAAGAGAATAGAAGAGAAAGAGGACCAACCAGAGGATTTAACGAAGGATTAAACGGTTGTAGTTTTAATTGTTGGATAGGACACGTGATACTTTGATAGGTTGATCACAACCGTTTATATTGACCAAACGAGGTAGAATTTGTATGTGACTCGGTTTAGAGTTTAGTCTCCTGTTAGACTTCGGACGATAATTAATTGATTCTCATTTTAGATTATTTCCTAAACTTTTAACTGTTCTAATTTGATCCCTAAATTATGGTTATCATAATAAATTAGTCCTCAAACTTTTGAACATTTCATTTTCACCCTCAAACTATGACATTCATTCTAAAATTGTCCTCAAACTTTATAAACATTTCAATTTCATCCCAAACTGTAAGTATATACTAATAATATCCTTTGTTAATAAAATTATTAGACCAAGTTATATTATTATGTGTTTGAAAGAAATAAAATTTAGGTTAAATTATGCTTGAAACTAATTACATATTTTGATGACTTTGGGGATGAAATTGAAAGATTCAAAAGTTTGGAGACTAATTACAAATGAGGGCCATAGTTTAAGGATGAAATTGGAATGTTCAAAAGTTTAAGAACTAATTTAGAATAAAAATCATAATTTAGGGATGAAATTAGAATATTTAAAAATTTAAAGACTAATTTAAGATGAGAATCATAGTTTGAGGATATATGAAGTAAGTAAATAAGTTTAGTAATATTTTTAGTCTTCAACTTTATATATATTTGCATGAATCAAACGAATTCAATGGAAAAAATTGTTATTATTCCTTAAAGTTTTTGTTTCGAGTACAAAAAATGTTAAGGGTGTGAACGTTCAGTATTAAATAGTTGAGAGTTATCTTTGAACGAATACCGCATTTTACTTGCATCATATTAATAAAACAAATAATCTCTAAATATTGTATCTTTAATTTTTAATAAATTAAAATAATTATGAAAAAGTAAAGAACTTATTAAATTGATACTAATTATTTTATCTTTTCTTATTAATATTATAATTTATTTCATAAAAAAAGAACATAGTTATCATTTGCTAGGTCTGATAAAATTTATTTATGTCCATTCAAACTTAAATTATTTTAACCTGTAAGAATTTAAACTCGTAATAATTTACATTTAAAAATGAATCAAATAAAAAAAATTGACAAAATTAAATTTAAAAGAATATGAAATGAAAAATCATAAGACGTTAACGATATTTTAAAAACTGATTAATAAAATATTTTTCACTTTAATTTTAGAGCAACTTGTTAATTAATGGGTACCTGAAGATTTGATTAGGAAATCTGCTTATCATTTTTATTTTTTTTAAAAAGGTAACTGAAGAAGAAAAATCTCTGACGAGCTTTATTTTTTGATTTTGTTGATGTAGTTAAATCGATAATTTTAGTTTCTATTTTTAGAACCAAGTCAATCAATTACTGCTACAAGTTTCTCCTTTTTCGGACAAACGGTTGTCATAATAAGTTTACTTATTTTGTTTAGGATAAATAATTTGTGTATTTTGTTGTAGTGCAAATTTAATTAAGATATAATTAAATATAAAAATTTTGATGAGTTAATAATTCATAATTTATAAAAAAAAAATTGAATACATAATTTTACATTTATGTAAACCTTAATTTGCTAATTAAATACTTTTATTTTCAATTTTTAATAAATACAAAATAATTGTACAGGGGTGAGGTAAGCTTATTATCATTGGGCGGTGGCTGGTTCCTAGGACAGGATAGATCTCCATCAATGTCCGGTTCAAAAAGCCCAATAAATTAAGCGTGCTTTATACTTGAGCCCAATTATTCATCAAAATTAGAGACGAGATGGAAATGTGGCGATTTTATATTAAAAACCCCAAATAAATAATTATTTAAAGAAATAGGATCTTCTAGAAATTATTTGAAGAATAACCCCAAATCGTCCACATCAGAGAACCTCACGGCCAGCAAATCGTGTGTTAAATCCTCGTACCCTCTAACATGTGAGATACATCCGACGTGAGAGCACTTTCCATGTAAGCCAATAAAATAATTAGATAAAATGACCTCGCGCATTGCGAAGCTCGAGGTAGCCTTTATGATATAAAATATCGCGAGATTTATAGGGACCTTGCGGCTTGCAAAGCGCGAGGACAATAGATTTCCTACCCTCCCTTCAGTGTCTGTAGCCTTGTTCGGATACTATTTTCAGGTGGAAAATTGATTTTTTTTAATTTTTTTTAATTATAAACGTGTAGTGTTTCAATTTATCTTTAAGGTGACTATAATATCAACATATATAAGACATTTTAAGCAGGGTAAAAAAGACGTTGAAAATGGTTAGAAATCATGGTTTTGTGAAGGAAGAAGAAAAAAATAGTTTGATAGACATATTGGAGTGTAAATTATGGCTTGTAAATATGAGGAATATCTATTGTTAATTAAAAAATAAATAATGCAAAAAGCTCATTTAATTAATACGTGGGCCTGAGCGATTGGGACATTTGTTCTTCGTGTGTCTGGGATTCCTACATATAGAGCATTATTTTGGTTGTCTGGTTCTTTCTTGATGTTCGACCAAATCCTCGTCACAAAAAATATAGGTTGACCGTGGACGATCTGGGTTTTTTTTCATCGTAGTGCATAATTTGACTGTATTGTAGGTTCATCATCGCTTCATCTGAATCCCATTTTCAATGGGAGAGAACTCGTACTCATAAACCTTGAATATATTTTCAAGTAAGTAAACCTGATCAATGAATCTCAAGTAGGGTATTAGAACAAAAGAAGCATCAAGCACATGGGTATTTGAAAGTTTGGAAGAATATGCACTCGCATGTTTTTTCTCGTAAATTAACCACTTATGCGTTGTGTTTTATGCCTTCCAATGGCCTCACAAATTCTGATACACGGAATAATGACACTTCACGAGAGAAGCATATGGCACTCATCGCGTTGGAATGGTGTTGGAATGTTTGTAATTTTCTAAGGAGGTATGGGTGGATTTGGTGGCCACTTGCCATTTAGTCAGCTGTTTGCCTTCCCAAGGTTGCGAAAAGGGGTTTTTAGTTGATAACACGTTGCTTTGACAATGGACGTGATAGGCAAATGGCGCACTCCATTTAGTGATGAATTTATTGCCTCATCCAAGTTTGTTGTCATATGACCATACCCTCTACCCCATCAAATGATCGAAGTCATTTCTCTTTTGGGATTCTAGCAAGGTAGTTAAAGCCCTCATAATTCATGTCTCTTAGTTCCTACATCAGGTCACTAAACTGACGTACGGACTGTATGTAACCTATCAATAAAAAAATGAAACAATTAATTTGAAATAATTTTGTAAAAATATGGTAAATCGAAAAGGGTGAAATACGTACCCATTCGAAGCAGCATTAGACACTCATCTTAACTCTTGAACTTCTGCAAATATTTTGCGGCAATATGTCATAAGTAGTACTGGTGATAAATATTGGGGGTTGACAAGACGGGTTCATACGCTGGAGTGCATATTTGATACCAGTGCCTGTGTTAGAAATAAGACAAATACCATCATCTTTATCATGTATCACATATGATAAACATATGTTTATAAGCTAGTAAGGAAGAATTCCCAAGAGTCGATTACTTCCTTTTCGACAATTGCGAAGGCGATGAGAATAGTTTTTCTGTTGTCATCTTGTGAAATCGTCAATAACATTATTTAAGTGTATCGACCATATAACCAAGTGTCGTCGATTTGAACAACCAGCTTGTAGTGTTGGAATACATTAATGCATTGCGAAAAAGTCCAAAAGAACCGGTAGAATTGACATATACCTTGTATAACACGATCATTTTCGTACACCTAGATTGTTTCTAATTACACAATTGTTTCCGGAATGTGTTTTTGTATCAGTTTAAGCCATGGTCACAATTTATTATATGATTCATTCCATTGGCGAAACCATTTTTGTTGGGCCCAATACTTTGCACACCATGCTTTGTGGTAGTCAATTGTATACCCATATAGCGATGTACCTGAAATAATATATGTCGCTACCGTAACACGTGGATTTGATTTGAGCAACGGAATGAAGGCTTCAGAAAACACATGCACATCCAAGTTAAAATGATCTTGATTCAGGATGTTTATGGTGCATGTATATGGTTGGACGTATTTTGTGAGTTTCCAAAGGTTGTTCATCGTCTTCAACCGTGATACACGAACACTCATACATCCTTGTTTCTTGTGGAGACATTCAACAATGTACTTATCTATATCAGTTATTTCACACTTGACGTGAAGGAGCGATGTATGTTGTAGTTCTTGATTGCAACCACAACTTGTTCTTTTGTCATAAAACTCATTCGTAAAAATAGTAAATAAAATTATCAACTTACAAATAAATAAATCAAAATAAATAATGAAAAAATAAAACATATATTAACCTGAAAACCATTCCAACATAGAGATCACCATCACTACGTTGATTGTATTTCTTAATGTGTGGGAATTGAGAAAATTTCGGAGCATTGAATGTCTCCATATCAATTTTTGTAAAGTGCGATGGTGGTTGGTAATAAGAAATAGGCATTGCAGCATGTGGAATTGTTGTAGTCGCACCGTATTCTTCGTTGTCTTCTGCTTCTAGTGGCATGTCAAGGTTTTCTAGTTTTTCATAGAAGGGACCTAACTCATCACCATCGGGCTGGATTCCCTTATTGGTTCTTCGATTGAATGATCCCTCTCAAAGCGGAATAGTTTAGCCTCGTTTAAATCAATGTTAGCTGCTACTGTAGGTGTTTGTCGATTATGAGACCGCTCACGAATCGGTTCCTCAAGATCAACGTCATGTATACCAGTAAAAGAATGTCTCCCATATGTGTTGAGACGTTATTCGCATAAGAGATATATGTTGAATATCGGTAGATGAGAAATCATCGAACATGTTAAACGTTTGCATTGGTGGCATGTTCAAGTCAAACTCGAATCTTGCAACACAAGATTACCTTGGCATCGAAGATGATGATGCACCCA